CAATAGCTGAGCTACTCCTCAGCTTTCTACAGCTGAGCTGTACCCAGGGTGCTTGGAGGCAGACATCTTCCTTCTGGGCAGGGCTGAAAACCTAAATTCTCACCAAATGAGAAATGTGAGCATCAGCCTAACTCTGGTGATTTTTCAAGAATGAGATGATTCTTGTTAGTGGCACTAACAAGCTGTGTTTCAACCAAGCTTGGTGAAGGACTGCGTTTCAAGTTACATTACTTACTCAAAGACACCGCTCTGTTTATAAACTAACACAAAATATTTTTTGTAACAAATGTTATCCTCTGAAGAGTTAGCCTTCACCTGTGTTTGTTCTAGGCACACCTAAGCCAAAGGCCCTGAGGCCTGGTGTAGGATCTGTTACTCCCCTTCAGTTGGCACCGTGAGAGCTTTAACACCAGCAGAAACTGTGAAAAGACTTACCACTACGTGTATAGTGTGTTGCTGTGGAGAGCCCCCAATATAGCAGCAGGTAGCAACGGAGACAAAAAGTGCAGCCATAAGACACAAGCAAGGGCACAGAGCAAGCACAATTCATTGAAGTAGCAAGCATATGCAGTCACCCAGCTAAACAAAGTGAGCATTGCCCTGCCAAGTACAATAAACAAGTCATTCAAGCCACAACCAAGTCTTAAGGTTAACTTCAGTAGAGATTTCATGCAGAGAAGTGTCAGACCATGCTGATCTATCTGTCACTAAGCTGTGGGATGAACTGTCCTGAGAAAGAGCTGCCACTGGCACTGTGGCTGCAGTTGCACTGCACTTCACTGCTGGAGAACATATTCCTAGGCATGGCAAGTATAAACCTTCTGGCACTGCTGGGGAAGACTATCAGAGAGAGAGGCAATGGAATACACAGTAATGAGTGTAGAAGTATTCATCCTTAAAGAAAGTTTCATTTTCTCCATCTTGTCCTCAATTAGCCAAAGCTGGGCAGCCCTATCATGCTACCAACTGTCTAATTTTCTGGGCTGAGGCTGTTGTGGATCACTTTTTCTGCTCTGAGAGGATGGCACAACCAGCTCACCGAGAAGGCCAGCGGGACGTAGTTGCGGCGTCGCGCCAGCTTCTTCCTGTCACGCTCGATCTTCTCCTTCTGGGCCAGCTGCTGGTAGTACTCAACCAGTTTGTTAATCTGGAGGGAGGAACAGGGAGCACTGTCACCTCAGCTGCAGCATTTGCTTGTGAATTAGCTGGGCATCCTGCGGCTTGTTTCACTCTGTTCCTCGTACCAGCTGTATTGTGCAGGATGTACTTCAAGAAGCCTGTGTACCTTACCATGTCTTACCCCACACTGTGGGTGACAAAATGACCCTTCCTTGGGAATGGTGTGTGCTGGAGGGCAGTGTCCCATTCCCACTTTGCAATTCAGCAACTGAGACTTCATTCACAAATTGGCCATGACTGCAGAGAGTAATGTCATGTAGCCAACTCTGAGCAATTTGGACTGGCAGAGCAAACAGCATCTTTAGCATCTTTTCCCCCCTCCCCGAGGCTGGTCACATTTAGAGTGGAGCCCTAACGGGTAAAAGAGAAGGGTGTTAAAGGTGCAGTTGTGTTTTCCAGATCCTAGACACACTTTTGATTGGAAAACAGCTTTTTTTCACATACATACGCAGCACATTCACCTTAACAGCACCATTAGATAGGTTGGTTTCAACTGAGCTTCTTCTCAAAAGGAGATTTTATACTGCGATATCCTCAGGGGAGCCTCTAAGAGGCCTTCCCTCCATTGAATTCAGTCAAGGTGCAGATTAGGAACTGGAACTGGTATCTGAAGGATTATATAGAGGCAGAAAAAGCGATTGAGAGGGCCTGACACTCTAACAGTTCTTTCTGGCTGATGCATTTCAGCCCAAGCACAGCTTTCCCCCTCACTCACCCTCTGTGTGTGAGGATTCTCCGGCTCCTGCCAGCCACCACTCGCTGCACAAGAGAAGAGAAAAAGCAAAGTCCATAGGAGATGCCACACAGAAATCACACCCAACACTGAACTATCTTGGTGTTATTTATAAAATATGACATTCCCTATTTTTGCTACACCTACCATTGCAATTGTTTAAGTTCATGTCTGTGCAAATATAAACCTCTGAAAGAGTTGCACAGGCAGTTTTGGAATGAAAGAGCTCTGACAGCTTTTATACTGTGTTTTTAAACAAATGCTGCTTGAGAGATACTCAGGACAGCACGCAGGAGTCACTTCAGCAGCAGGTACATGTGTTTATATGTGTGCCTCTTATTGCTGGCTGCTGCTGTCTCTGCATCCTCAGCTCCATTTTAAGTCACATCAACACTGGAAGTCAGCGGATCTGCTTGGCCTACTCAGCCCCACCTGACAGATATTTTCTGTACATCTCACGCACCAAAAAATAGATGAAACCTTTGTTCTAGTGCTCTTGTGAAGAGAAAAGCCAAGTTCAAACACTGACTAGCAACTCTGGAATAAGTCTAAGTGAACAAAAGTGATGGAAAATAAATTAGGTGTTTATGCTGTCAGACTGAGCAGCTTCAAAGCCTGTGAAAGCACACAAACAAAATTAACTGACTAAAACAGTTTGACAGTTTTCTCACTAGTCAGGTAACAGAGGCATGAAAGTGGGTCACACATTTCACTAACTCAGCTCAGCTCTTCAGAGGAGTTTTCAGCAACAAGGAGCTTTCCTGTGAATTTCTAACTACAACTCCAATCCTAGCCAGATATGAAGTCTATAGCACAGTCAGGGACTAACTGGATTCTCTGCTACCTTCAAAACACAAACTGGGCTCGTGCTGTAACTCAGCTGTGTGTCTTTCAACCATGCCTTACCAACAGACTTGTCTGCCATGCCCACGTCGCGGGAAGTCCAGCGGCAGAAGCCGCAGGCCAGGTAATAGGCTTTCTTCATGGTGGTCTTGGCCGGGTCGTCGGGCAGCGGCGCAGGGATGCTGGTGGCACGCGTGGAGAGGGTGTGCATGCAGCAGGGGCAGTCAAAGCAGTTGGCACACCTGCAACAACAAGGCAGTGCTCTGAGAAGGGCTCCAGGCTGAGAGAAACGCTCCCAACAACCACATTAGCACTAAACCAACAGACCATTAACTCCTAGGCAGCAGCACTAGGGATAACGAGCTGTCACGGGAACTTGGGGGATTCAGAGTCAGCAGTGAGAAACATAATGTGATACTAAAAAACATCTGTATTATGAGCCCAGGCCATAAAAATACACCCAAAAGTCATGAACAGCACATGGTGCATCATGGAAAGACTCTTATTCACCAAAATAGACTTAAACACAACAAGCAGCCATGTAGTTATAGAAGAACTTCAGACAGACATGGGAAGGGACTGTTTTAGATAGAGAGCCTTGGTGGGGAAAAAAAAATCCAAAGCAATTATACCTGTTCTTTTTCAGCTTGGCTTCAGCTGAAGGCATGTTTTCCAGGCAGCTGGGGCAGTAGTGAGAGTCAACCTGAAGAAGACACAGCCACATCACAAAGATTATCTGGCACACCTTTGTCCAAAAAGCCCCAAACTGCCACATGATACAACAAGGATTTGCAGGGTGAAGCCAGGGAAGGCTTGAGATGTTTATTGGTATGCAAAACCTTAGCCCATCTCAGACAGATTTTGATCTTTAATAACATAAATTATAAGGTTTCTTAAATCAGAATGGATTAAATTACTCCACCTTTTAAATGGGAAAAGATCAGCTGGGTGTTGGCCTTTAGCAGTTAGAAGAATCTCATTTTTCAGCTTGAACAAAAGTTTTAACATTTTATTTCCTATTTAAATCTAAATTTATTCTGTCTTCACGGTTACAGAGGTCAGATACACGCATATTTCAGAAGATGCTTTGCATTTCTCTGCTATCACAGTGAATTTTGTCAATTAAAACGACAGCAGCAAGACTAGGGCCCCCTTATTGAAGAGGAATTCAAACTGATTATTAAGCATGGCCAAGCACAATGACTACACTGCTCACACCACAGTGAATTCATGATGGATACAGCCAGGTCACAAATCCGCTCTTCAGAGGCCTTAACGTTTCATTAGAGATTCCAGATCTGGGCTGCACAGTCATTCTTTCAATGCTTCCCAAATCTATCACAATTTCTCAATTCCACCAGGCTTCCACAAAACAAGGCTCGGCAATTTTATTATGACAATTTATGAAGCCAAATCCGCCTCCTCCACAGCAGAAATCGCAGCTGCAAAAAACACACATCCCTCCACAGCAAAAAAAAAAAAAAAAAAATCGAGGAGGGGTGAGGATCTTGGGGGGTCCTTGCCCCTCCACGGCCGGGCCCGATGGGCATGAGTGTGGTGTGGGGGGAAGTCTTGACCTAAGGGTTGGGTCCCCGCCGAGGGTGAGGGGTCCCCGCCGAGGGTGAGGGGTCCCCGCGGCCCCGGCCGGGCCCGTTTCAGGGGGCTCGTCCCTCATGAGGGGAATCCGCCCTGTGCGCTCGCCCCAGCCAATCACAGCCCGAGCTCCGCCGACGGACAGCCCGCTCAGCCAATCCACCGCGCAGCCCCGCCCCATCCGTCACTCGCGACCAATCCCCGCGCCCCGTACAGCGCTGCGCCCACCCGCCAGCCGCTCCAACAACCAATAGCAAAGCAGAAAGCGAGTGAGTGGCAGGAGAGCGACCCAATCGCTGCGCGCAGAGAGAGCACCGTCCCGCCCGGTGCCGCCCGGTGCCGCCCGGTGCGCGGGCGCGGCGCGGCCGGTCCGCCGTTACCTCGTGCGAGACGCACTCGAGCGAGCGGAGCTCGCTGCAGTAGCGGCAGAAGTACAGCTGCGGCAGCGGCGCCCGCAGCTCCTTCTCTCCGCGCACCAGGTACAGCACCCGCTCGGATTGCAGCAGCGACGCCATCTTGGCGGTGGGCGGTCCCGCCGCGCCGCCGCCGCCTGACGTCACAGCGGCGGCACGGTCACGTGGCCCCGCGGCCCGGCCGCCCCTCAGCCCCGCCCGGTCCCGCCCGGTCCGTGCACAGCCGCTCCGTGCCCGTGCTCGCCATCCTCGCAGAGAAGGATTTAGTCACAATAATAAATCTGTCCCTGCGCTGTAGCAGTGGGGAGCGGTTCCATCTCATCCCGTCACTCCGAGCCCCTGTTCCAAGTCCCTCCCTACTCTCCTGGAGCTCCTGTAGGCACTGGAAGGGGCTCTGAGGTCTCCGCAGCCTTCTCCAGGCGGCCATCCCCAGTTTTCCCAGCCTGGCTCCAGGGCAGGGAGCTCAGCCCCCGCGACATCTCCATGGCCTCCTCTGGAGCCACTCCAGCTGCTCCGTGTCCTTCTCACGCTGCAGCTGGACACAGCTCCAGGTGGGTCTCACCAGAGCAGAGCAGAGACGGTGATCTTTTCACACCCCAAAGGAGGTTTCTCTTCAGTCTCATGTCCACTAAGGGTCCTGACAAGAATGGACATTCCCGTGCTGTGGGATCAGCAGGAGAGCACGAGGTCTGTGGATGCTCTGCTGTGTGCGAGGAGGGCAGAGCTGGCATCAGCAAACCACTGCCAGTCTGCTGCTGGATCAGCCCAAAGAAGCACCAGAGCCAGCCTGGCCTGTGGCATGAATTCCCCATCCTCAGCCCGGGATCCATCCCCGCACAGCGCTGCAGTCTGTCCCTGCCCACTGCTCGCCAGGAAACCCCTGCCCACGAGGCTGTGCCACTGCTCTGCTCACGATAAAAACCCCACTTTTTTTATCCGCCTGCAGCAGCTGGAGGGGAGCTCTGCTGGGAGGGCAGGGAGGAGGCTGCCTGTGCTCCCGGCACAGCCAGGGTGCTCGGAGAGCGTGTGGCAGGGTTTTTCACCACCTGAAACTCAACAGGTTTCCCTGGGAAAAGGCAGGAGTGAAAGGTGCAGTGTGTGGCTCTCACCCTCACCGTGACTGACACTGAGCTTGCGTCCCAGAAGGAAAGTCGGAGCATCCCATCTTGCTTTTGCCATTCAGCATCACCAGTGGAGTGGAATATTCCCCTGGGCAGCAGAAAAGCAGCGTTCCCAGGCGGCGGGCTGAGCTCTGTCCCCTCCCTGGCGATGCTCTCTGCCCGTGTCTCTGTACATCCCCCTGCCCGAAGCCCTGCGGAGTGCGGGCACCTCGCTGCAGAGGCTCGGGGTGCTCTTGCCCTGGGCCTTGGGGACAAGCGGGTGCCTGCGAGCCCTGCTGTGGCAGGAGAGTCATAGTGTAGTTAATAATCTTTTATTAACGACTATGAAGTGAAATGTCCCCGCGGTCCCTCCCTGAGACCTTCGGGTTCAGTTCCAGAGGCACTCCCCCAGCGGATCCCCATTGTGGGTGGGATGAGACGGAGTGTATTCTTATTTTTTCCTGCAAACCGTCCTGCCGTGCTTTGCGTTTCCTTCCTTCCTCTTCCTCCTATCCCCTTCCCCTCCTTCTCCTCCCCTGCCGTCCCCCGCGGGCCGGGCGGGGCCAGGCGGAGTCTTTTTCTCCCGGCGGGATCTCCTGGCAGGAGCTGGAGCAGGAGCGGGTTCGGAGTGGGTGCCGGAGCCTGGCAGCGCCGCAGGTAAGGGGAGGCGGGCAGGTGGGTGGGAAGGGCACGGGCAGGGCACGGGCAGGGCACGGACCCGGCATGCGGGGCACGGGCAGCTGCCGCCTCTCCCCCTCGTGTCCCCCAGCCCCGAGGGGCCGGGCAGGACGGGGCACAGCCACGGTCCCCGGGAGGGGTCCCCGCATCCCGGCCCCTCCGTCCCCTTCAGCTGATGGATAACTCCGTGACTCAGCAGGAGGTGCGGGTGGGGGACACACACGAGGCTCCCCACAAACAAGGGGGCTCCCGGTTGACTTGTCCCCACCATTTCCCCGCGTGATGATAGACCGGTGAGTGACCAGCGGGACACCCACCCGGTCGTGGCTTTCTTTTATCAGTTCCTATAACAAACAGTGGCAATTAATAGGGAAGTTTTTCCCTGGGCTTTTATCCAGTGCCTTTAAAGCGTGCTGTAAATCCTGCGGGTAATTGAAGGAGCCTTGACCAAAGGCTCTCGAAGGAGCCCAAGGTGAAAGCTGGAGCTGGCCGCAGGGCTGTCCCTGGAGAGAGCAGCAGAGGACTGGGAGGATGGAGGGGGCTGCCCCACCACCCCTCTGCTTTTTCCTTGCAGAATGGACCTCCCTCACCTCACGAGTCCCACCGACCTCCCCAAGCACATCCTGGATATCTGGGTCATCGTGTTGATCATCCTGGCCACCATCCTCATCATGACAGTGCTGGTGCTGTGCCCGGCCACTGCTGTCATCATCTACCGGGTCCGAACACACCCCACGCGCAACAGCATCGTGTGAGCCACGGGCACTGGGGGACGGCCACCTCGCTGAGCTGGGGGCTACAGCCATGGGACCCCGTGCCAGGCACCTTGACAGGGCACCCTGAGAGCTGGAGCCTGGGCAGGAGCTGGGGTGGGCCAGTGCCCAGAGCTGCTCCTGTACTCGGCTCTCACTGCTCATTTTGCCCACTGAGCACTCAGGGACTGTGGGGGAAATGACAGCGTGGGCAGCAGTGGCGAGAGGTGTGACTTTGAGGACACGTCCAGCTGGAAATATCTCACTCCCATGAGGGAGGCAGGCTGGGTTCACCTTCACTGTCTCCTCCCAGGCAAGCAGCAAGGAGTGGAAATGTCTGAAAAAGTTATCTCTTCTTTGGAGTCCCAGCTGTCAAGGTGGTTGGGGAAAAAAGAGTCAAAGCAAGATGGATGTGGCTTCTGGTTGTGCATTTAGTGCTTGGCTAAAAGCATCAGTGACAAAGCCTGTGCTGGCTGCACAGCAGACGTGCAGCTGGCACCAGCTTCTCCTCTACCCATTATCTGCTGAAATGGTAGGAAAATCCTGCAGGGCTCTTGGCTCCTCTGGGTCTTGTGGGGCAGAGGAGTGTGTGCAGTTCCTGCCAGCCCTCCTGTCTGCACTCCCCACTCCTGACAGTGAGAGCTCCCACTGTTTGCCCAGCACACAGCCCTGCTGGGGAGTCCGTGCATGCCTCACCTGGGCAGGTGAAGCGGGAGGAGCAGGTTTGTGCCCAGCCAGTGGCAAGGGATCATGTAAGCTCTTGTATTGCCCTTTGTTATGAAATAAATGGACTTTATCCTTCATGTGAGTGTGTCATGCAGCTCTGTCCACACTACAGGTGGTGTCTGGCTCTGCAGGATCTGGGATACTTTGCAGCCTCTCCAGGAACCCTCCCTGCTCTGACCTCCTGCACTGCCTTGCCTCGAGGTCCCTGGGGCTCTCCCCGGCCCTGGAGCCCAGCAGGAAGCTCACTGCCAGCCCAGCCCCACGCTGCAGGAGGGCAAACCTCAGTCTGGACAGAGTGGGTGGGAAGGATCCCTCAGGGCTTTCTGACAGTGGTTGTGGCTGTTTTTCTCCCACTCGGGTGACCGGCATTCCCTCACACCAGCCTCGTGCCGGGTCAGTGTGGCAGGAGCCTGGGGCTGAAACGGCGTCTTGGTGACTCACAGAAGGTCACAAACGAACAGCATGAATCAGGAAGGATGTGGGGAAACACTATGGTGATGCTGGTGGGAATTGTTTAAATCCTATTTTCTGTGCTGAAAAGAGCAACCAGCCCTGCAGCATTGGAAACCCTGTGTGCCATCCCTGTGTGGCTTGATCCACAGCAGCCAGATTTGGGGTTGCACTGGGTGGTGGGGCCAGAGGGGCAGGAGGCTCCCAGGGAAGCAGGACCTTGGGCAAACACCTCCCACCTTGGGAAAGGAGTCTAGCACCAGAATGCAGACCCTGGGGAGCAGAAGTGCCTGCGCTGGAGCCACTGGCTGTGGTTGTGCTGGGAGGGAGCAGACACTTATTCCTTGCCCAGCCAAAAAACATATTTCTGTTTCGAGCTGTCAACTCTCTCTTCCCCTCTCGAGTTGCAGAGTTTGAGGCAAATAACCAGAGTTATTTTCCTGTTTTTCTTCCTCTCTCCCTCCCTTGCTGGCACGGTGCAGCAGCAGCTGGTGGACATTACAAATGTGCAGGGTGGGAGCAGCCCTGGCTTTGCTCTCCCCCGTGCTCCACCCAAGCACTGCTTCCCTGGGGACAATGTGGGGATGGCCAGCAGCACCAGGAATTAGATCTGAGCAGCTTTGCTATGAGAGGAATAGGGGAAAAGCCACAAACATTGGAGTGGTTTGGGAAGGAAGCCTGGTTTGGAGAAAAAGCATGGAACACCTCCCCCCCTGTCCACACAACCATACATGATTGCTGTCCCCACCTCTGCCTTCCCCTTGTCAAGAGCAGCAGAGGGAATTGAGAGATTTCCTTTCTTGGTATGAATTTACTGGGAAGTTTCAAACCCGTGACAAACATTTCCAGGAAAGGCCTTGGAAAGATGGATTTGTTCATAACAACAACAAACATGGAGCTAAATGGCAGCAGTGGTAAAGCAGAGAGAAGCTACGACATTTTTTAAAGCATTAAGATGGAGGAGAATGAATTTAAACTGGATTTCCAACACTGTCAAGTTAGAAATTCCTCCTCCAGGATAGAACAAGATAACCAAATCCCCCTGTGGCCCTGGCTTCAGTGTCTGAACAGTGCTGGGGCTTGGAGGCAGTGTTTGCTGGAGTTTTGCCAAGGAAAAATGCCTTTCTGTTGAGAAGCGGGTCCTGCTCCGGTGACGCTGTAGCAGGCAGGGTGATGTGGGCACTGAAGTGATTCAGCATCCACTGGGATGCTTCCCTGGAGGTGCTGGCATGTGCCAGGAGCTGGCTGCTGGCCCGTGGGGGCTGCTGCTGGGGGAGGCAGATGGGGCAGTCGCAGAAGGGAGAAGGGGACACACGATGCTGGCTCTCAGCTTGCTTCTGGGCAGCCTGCCTTTGCAGGGGGAAGGGGGGACAGTGGGCCAGGGGCATTTCTACAGGGAGCAAATCTTCCCCTGGAAAAGGAAGGGATGGCAATGCTGGAGGGGGCAGAGCACATAGCCAGGGGGCTGCAGGGGCACTCGGGAAGGGGGACCCCCCACTCCAAAGGGTGCTGGGCACCATGGCCAGCAGGGAGGCTGCTGCTGAACCAGGGCAGTGTGTGGGAACACACGGGCTGGGGCAGAGCAGTGAGGGCTGGGCAGGCTGGCAGCCTGGTGCTCAGAGAACTGGGGCCTCTCGCCTGGCAGAGTTTGCTTTGCTTTTGCTTCCGTCACACACTTTGAACAAACGTTCAGAGGTTGCCCTGGGATTGATGCCAGGCCAGGCTGCCAGAGGGAAGCTGCACTGCTGCTAGCCAGGGCAATGCTGCCTGCTGCTCCCCAAGCTCCCTGCCACGCTGCTGGCACCATCCCTGTCCCTCTGCATGAAAATACTTCTCAGTCAGCTCTGGGATAAACCCAGCAGGCAGCACTGGATGGTCCCCACCACTGCTTTCACATTTCCTGTCCTCAGCTGGGGCCCTGCAGCCTGGCACAAGGTCTCTGCAGCCCCTGCATGTGGCTCAGGGGACAGCCAGGGAGGCTGGTGGCAGTGGCAGCATGGTGGCCCGGGAGCTGGAAGCGCCTGGCCTCCCGCCCCGGACTCCTGCCAAACATCTGCTGCAGGCGTGAGCTGGCTCCCACCCGGCTCTGCTGCAAAAACAACCCAGCAGGACGGGTCGTGCGAGGGTCAGCCCGCCCTGCTCAGCTGCTTTTTGGGGTGGGGGACCCCAATCCTGCAGCATGGAGCAGCACAGTCTTGGTGGAGCCCCTGGCCCCCTTGGCCCTCCCATGCAGCCTCCAGCATGACGTGGCAGAGCAGGCTGGAACACTGGGTGACGTGCCCGGGATGCCATGGAAGGTCAGTGGCAGAGAGGGAGTCCATTGCCTGTGTCTCATTAACTCCTTCCCCTTTCCCAACCTCCACCAGGGCTGATTTGGCACTGTGACCCAAGGAGGCAGGACTTGGATAAACTAGTCACTTATTTTTGTTTTGGTTTTAGGAAAACTGAGTTCAGGAGTGACTCAGACTTTCACTGCTCGTGGCAGGGATTAGGGACACGTGGAAGGGACACAGCCACACTGTGCCACATACCACTATAACTAGATGTGGGTGAGAAATCGTGGGGTAGGGAGCAGAGTCCTGAGCAGCTCCCCAGGCCTGTCCTAGCTCTGTTGCAGGAGGCAGCTCAAGCCCTGGTCAGGCTCAGAAGTGTGAGCTGTGCTGGGGAGCACAGCACTGGGCACACACTGGTCCTTGCTGGCAGCAGAATGCAGAGACCTGCAGGCCAGGAGCTGCAGCCCCATGGCCTCAAACCTCTGGAGAGCCTGGGAAGTAGGTGGGGAGGGTCAAATCCTGGGTATTGGCTCCTACAGGTTTTGGTAAGGAGCCACTCGTTCCACCCACAGCCATATCTGTGAGAGTCAACTGGAGCACCCCTGTGGCCAGCCTGGTTCTTGGCATGTTGTGATGGGCTCTGTGCAGCCCCCAGGCAGTGGCTGAGCGCCCTGAGAGTTTGCCTGGGCCTGGGGGAACACCCCACACTACTTGGGGTCTAGGCAGGACAGAGATAAGCCATTCCCCCAGTAGCAGTGCAGGTTTAAAGCTTTGGGAAATGCTGCCAGGGACAGAGAAACCCACAGCTCCCCTGCTCCGTGGCTCCTCTGTGTGCCTGGGACATGGACCCAACCCCAGCCCTCCCACGCCAGCTGAGGCTGCAGCTGGAGCCTCACAACACCAGCCTTTCCCAGGACGTGCTGTTCCTTCTGCTGAAGAACGCAGACTGGGACATTGCTCCCAGCTTCCTCTTAACCCATGGCCTCACTCCCCTTCCTTGGTGGCATCTCCAGCAGCTGGCTCAGTGACAGTATCAATGCAGGGCTGACACTGCTTTCTAGTAAAGCCAAACCTCATGCTGGCACTCATGGTCCCTCCAGGGCTCACCCATTGCCACCCCATAGTGTCCTCACCCTAAAACCGCAACTTCCTCAGCTCCCCTCCAGCCAGTTAATTCTCCCACTGAAAAAATTCTGGGGGGATTTCAGGGAATTTACACCTCACCAAGGATATTTTCTTTGGAGACAGCCCAGGATAAATGCTCACATTCCTTGGCTAAACAAACAGGACCGTGGAAACTCCTGTCCCAGGGGACACCCAGCAGTGCCGTGCCCTTGACCCCAGCAGGGTGACCGTGGTGCCACAGCCCCCGAGCTGCAGAGCAGCCCCTGGCAGGAGCGATCCTCCCCCAGAGCTGCCCCTAGCAGCCCCTTCCTTTAGCGGGCACAAAGGAGCGGAGCAGGATCAGCCTCCCCCAGCCCAGCCCGAGCAGCCATTGGGGGGCACCCACCGAACCCCAAACTTCCCCAAGGCTGCTGCTGGGTTTGTCCCTGCAGCCATTGGGGGGCACCCACCGAACCCCAAACCTCCCCAAGGCTGCTGCTGGGTTTGTCCCTGCAGCCATTGGGGGGCACCCACCGAACCCCAAACCTCCCCAAGGCTGCTGCTGGGTTTGTCCCTGCAGCCATTGGGGGGCACCCACCGAACCCCAAACCTCCCCAAGGCTGCTCTGAGTTTGTCCCTGCTCCTCGGGTGTCACCCGGCTGAGTGAGCTGCTCAGGATGGGGCACCTCTCCCAGCCACCGTCACCTCCGCCCCCCCTTTCCCCCTAAATCTCTCCCCCCACCTTGCGGGTTTAATCCCGGCTCGGGTAACACGTTGCATAAACTCGGCACATGCCGCTGCCCCGTGTCCCCCCGGGTCCCGCCAGCCCGCGGTGCCACCCCCGGGCGGTGTCTGTCCGTCTGTCCGTCCCAGAGCCCACACGGTTAACGCGGCCCGGCCCGGCCCGGCCCCCCCGGGCCATTGGCTCCCCCCTCGCAGCCCCGCAGCTATTTCCCGGCCGCCGGGCTCCGAGGGGACAGCAGGCGACAGCGGCGCTCGTCCCGGCCGCTCGCCCAGGCTGCCAGGGGGTGCTGGCACCCCGCACCCCGCGCCCCGCCATGGGGGGCCGCGCCCGCAGCAGTTGGATTGTGCCCCTTTTCTTGGCTGGGCTCGCCCAGCTGGGGCGAAGCGAGGAGAGGGAGAAGGTAAGAGGAGGGGACACCCGCACGGGGCGTCCAGGGGGGTTTAGGGGCTGTGTGGCACCCAGGGGACGCGCCTGTTCCTCAGGCTCTCTGCAGGACACCTCGGGG